CAACAGGTCTGCACCCTGCCTCCTCTGAGAGACACCCACTCAGAGGCAAGAGGAGGTTGGGGAAACCAGGACACTCCCACCAAGTAGGTGCCCACTGGAGGAGACAAGGTGCCAAACCACCAAACACCTTTAGGGGCAGTAAATGAACCAGGACAAACCACCAAACTGGCACTTCAGGCCCACCTCTACTTAAGAACCCTTGGCTGATGTTCAGTCCTTTTAAGTGTGTCTCTAGCATCCATATATACCATATCTCAGCTGTTTCTATTTGAAGTCTAGTTCTGTAGTGGATCTTTTCTAAAATAGTCACTTTTAGGTCATTCAAAGAGTGTCCAGGTAGATTGGAATGTTCTGATGTTCAGGCCTGTAATTGTGTTGATGAAGTAGAACGGGGGACAGCGAGGTTTAATTTTCATCTCTGTACTAGTGTTGTGTAGTCTGTTGTGTGGCAATAGTAGTTTGAGACTGGAAGTTGTTGTTAGCAAGTATAGGCCTGTCATCAAGGGCTTGGGAGAGTGAAGTATTCTTGTCAAGAATGGGTTATACAACATGAGATTGAGTATCAATCAAGGGTTCTTAACTCAAGTACTTTCTTGTCCATGAAAAGTGAGCAGGTTAGTTTTTACTTCCTGTGCAGCATAGGGTCAAAGAAAAAATAGCTAAATAGTTTGCGAATCTGCAAGTTTGCGAAGTTTATTATTTTCCTAAGAATTATGGACACTGATGCAATTGTTATATTAAATGCTGATGACCATGACGCATTTCCTACATAAGTTGTATACTAGGTTATGATACACTACTAGTCTTCATATCGCTGGAAAACATCTGAGGTACTATCCACCATCTGTACAATCTTACATTTTTGAGCTTGCGGCTGCTTCCTGTTAAGTTGTTTCTGACTTGTGGTTTGGTCATCCCCAGTGAATTTCCATGACTGGATGGAGATACAAACCCAAGTTTCCTCAGTACTAGTCTGCCACTCTAGTCACAACACCCATTTGTGCTGTCCCTAATTATTCAATCAGACCTAAATTCCACTGGGTTTAATAAACTTTATCCCAGTTGGTATAAAATTACAGCCCAAATTGGATTACCAACTTTAGCTGAAGTATTAAAAACATTTCAACAGAAAACTCCACTCCGGTTCAATTGTTTTCAATTCTACAGCAAACTATTTCTATTTGTGAATAGCAGAAAACCAGTTTTACTACCCATTTACTTCCAACAGTCTTCTTTTCAATCTGCTGTTTCCGTACTGCCCTTAAATAGTTATTTACATCCCTTAAATAGTTATTTACATCATGAAAATAAACAGAGCTGCTCATCTGTTTTTCTTATACAGTGGGGTCTTGACTTGAGAACTTAATCCGTATTGGAAGGCGGTTCTCAAGTCAAAAAGTTCTCAAGTCAAATCTGCATTTCCCATAGGAATGCATTGAAAACCATTTGATCCGTATCTGCTCTTTTCCGTCCATAGAAACTAAGGGGAAGCTGCTATTCTGCTAAGTCAAAATGTTCTTAACTCAAGCCGTTCTTAAGTCAAGACCCTACTGTAGTGTGGAATATCTAAGCAGGAGTTGCATTTTTAAATTATTATTATTTTAATTTATGTGCTTTAAAAGCTGTTCTTAATTCAATTATGTTAATATTGTTTAATTGTGTTTTAATGTAACTCACTTTGTTAGTATTTATACTGTACTTTTTAAAAATCACCTGTTGTGAGCTCATACTGTGAGCCAGTTTGGTTAGTTATGAAAGAAAGGCTGCATATAAATCAAATGTAATTAAATCAAATTAAATCAATAAAGAAAGACAGTTTCACCACAATTTGATGTGGTGACAGAACTGCAATAAACAGCAACCCACAAACATTCTACACGTGTCACTTATTCAGTTATCATTACAGGAGTGAAATTAGATTACTTAATCTTATTTTATATAAAATAATCCTACCTCTTAATCATAACCAGATTATTGGATTACTCTGAGCAAAATCACATGATAAAATATTTCAATCCAAACAGTCAAAACTATGACAGTAATATTTTAAATCAAAGCACACAGTCTGAGTGGAACATAGCAGCCCCTTTACACTACAGGAAAAATGAGAACAAAGTTTCAGTTTCAGGAAAAAGACAAAAGAAGGGCATTATCGAGTGGAATCGAATGTTTGGAACATTCTGTTTCTCTTCCAAGATACAGACTTACAACACAGAGACTGCTTGTTTGAATCCAGAGGTACCTTTTTATGAAATTCTGTATATGGACAAAGTCTTCCTTTCCCAGAAATAGGCTCCTGCTCACAGCAGGGCTCCTTCCATTAGCAAAAGACTCCTTCCATTAATGGAAGCTCCTTCTGTTCACAGTAGGAAATCTCTGGATCCAATAGTTTTATTTAGCAGGCTTTATGTTTTTTCAAGATCACTCACACTTCTCTGTAGTTTTTATAGGCTTGTACCATTTTTAGTCAGTTTCCAATTATTTTTCCAATTATTTTGTATGTGTGTGATTACTTAACATAGACTGTTCCACAGAAAATGGTTATGTTCAGGTAAATTATTTTTTCCTATAATATTTTTTTCAGATAGAGAAGTGGGTGTAATATATATAATAACTGTGTCATCACTCTGGATTACTCAAATCATCATATTATATGACATGCAGTACATAGAAACATTATGATTTTATAAGCAGGTGCCTCTGAATATGGTGTGAATGTGAGCAATGAAGCTCTCTTTCCCAATTCTCATGAAATTCCCAAGTGGCATCATCTTCTTGGGTGCAAGAAAGTTTATGACCCTTCTCTCAAAGTGATGTAAGAATTCTAAGTGCTGCCTTCTTCCCCAGGAAAAACCCGGAAGACCTAACTTCCTTGGCAGGCAACAAATGCAACAAGCATAGACTCAAGTACTAACATTCACCTGCACACTCATGAACTCACACTCAATTACCCTCACCCATCTCTAAGCCATCTTTACACCTTTTGTAGCTTCTGTGTTCTGTGCTCTCAAGTCACATCCAACTAATAGAGTTCTCAAGATAAGAGAGATATTTAAGGAGTGGTTTTACCAGTTCTCCACCCCCATGGGTTTACGTGGTTTAGAAGGGATTCAAACCCAGCCCCCCGAGTCCTAATCTATCATTCTGTCCACTACACCATGTTGGATACCCTGCTTATAACACACTCTGTAGTCTAATTCATGTTAAATGTTTTGCTACAAAGAAGATGGTCTGAATTTCTGATTTGGTTGATTAAGTCTTTTGCTAATTGGCACTCAACACAGTCTGCGACAGTAGTGGCATAGTGTGGACCATAGAAAGAATGCAACCAGTGAGAAAGCTTTAGAGAATTTCAGCTATCTTTTGGACTTGGTCAACCATATCACATCCAGGGGCTGTACATTCATGGTGTGGTGAAGACCATCTCAGTATTCCCATTTGGAATCTGGCTAGGTCAGTCGTGCTAACACATCCCTCGTTATAGCTTGTCTGTTAGTACTGTTGTGTGCCACCATGCTGCCTATGACTTATGAGGAGCCTATGTATCAATGAGTGACTTACAAAATGTTCAGTTCTTAACAGCCCTTTCCAGACACTGTAAACTTGAGGCTGTGGCCTCCTTTGTTGAACCAATCCATCTCATATTTGGTCTTCCTTTTATCCTACTGCCTTCAACTTTTCATAACATTACAGTGGGGTCTTGACTTGAGAACTTAATCCGTATTGGAAGGCGGTTCTCAAGTCAAAAAGTTCTCAAGTCAAATCTGCATTTCCCATAGGAATGCATTGAAAACCATTTGATCCGTATCTGCTCTTTTCCGTCCATAGAAACTAAGGGGAAGCTGCTATTCCGCCTTCGACCACTAGAGGGGGATATTTTGTTTCTTTTTTTCTTAGGTCAAGAAAGGTTCAGGGAAGGCAGGGAAAATACAGTCCAGGCAGTACCAGGCAGTCCGAAGACTGTCTCCCAATCCCCTCTCTAAACGCTGGGAAGAGTGAGGAAGCAGACAGGCACCCTTTTCACTGGCCAACAGTTAACTGAAAGTTCACATTTTGCACTTTCCCTGCTTCCCACGTGGGTTTTTTTCAGTTCTTAACTCAAATCTAAGTACTTAAGTCAAGTCAATATTTTCCTATGAGAGCGGTTCTTAAGTCAAAATGTTCTTAACTCAAGCCGTTCTGAAGTCAAGACCTCACTGTATTGCTTACTTGGCTTTAATGAAGTTGTCCTTTGTTCAGCTCATTTATTGCATCTTTCTGATGGGTTGGGCAATGATTCAGGGTTCATTGAAAAAGTGTATCATAAGAGCTGGCAATCCAATGGACCAGCACCTACACTGAGCTATTTGCTTAATCATCATGCAGTTATCTGAGGCTCAGGCCACATATTAAAGTAAACACATATTTCCTCCTTTTACAACATTAACCCTTTATGCCTGCAAATCACTCAATGCTACATGCCTTCAGACATGTAGACATGCAGACATCAGACATGCAGACAAAGCTATACTATCTCCCAAGTTGCAAGTGTAAGCTAGTGTTCCAATACAGACTGAGGCATGGTCATGTTAAAGTGAACACATAGGCCCAAATCTTGTTGCTTAACTATATCCATAGAAAACAAACAGGGCACCTTCCAATAGCCCCTATTCAGGTTTTCAAGTGTACAACATACCAACAGGCACATACCTATCTGTAAAACCAAACAGGAGAAACATTTATTGACAGCAAGAAGCTGAAGGAATTACTCCATTCGCCTTCCACAGGGGTAACTAAGCGACACGATTTTGGCCATAGGATTTTCCTGTTAAGCATGCTCTGCTTCCAAATACAAGTCCAGCTTCTAATGATGCTCTGGATTTTTTGTCATCACAGATTTTTGAATACTCTGACGCTTCTGCACTTCTATTACAATAGTATGGGGGAAACAAACCAAGCTTAAATAGCTTCCTCAATGCACACGAGAGGAAAGTGTTAAAAAGTAAAAGTAATATATTTACCTGGGTCTTCTATAGATAAATGTTTTGTTAACCACTGAACAATGTCTGAACCTAGAAAGAAAATTATAGTATCATTAAGATGTATGCACCAAATTACAGAAAGAACAAACATTTACTTTTCTGAGATAATTCACTTTCATTAAGCTATGTAAAGCTACCATCCTATGGACATGTATCTGTTGAAAGCTCTATTGGCACTGTATGGAAATTTATGGCTTAAAAACCTTTAGTTACACAGCAGAAAAAGTTGAAGAAAATGCAGAGTACAATTAGCTTCAAGTCTCCCCTCAGTATTGGTTAGTTCTCCTCAGCTGGCATTTACTGTCTAAATAATTCATTCATATAACACTAATAAGTGAAAAGAATAAAATGTTCTGTTAATTGACAATTCTTTATAGATCAAAAGTGAACAACATTTTGTCAAAAATAGTGACTGGTTTCTTGAACAGATCTTAATTGACTAACTAGCTTCATGACTAACTATATGACTTGCTGATGGACTAAATACATTGCTCTAACTGTCTTCAGACTGTCTGACTGGAAAAAAGGCAGAACAACCTTCGGTTTCTCCCAATAGGGCTACACTGTGTTTCACAAGGGGAAAAAAATCAGCCATGGCAGAAATATACTTCAGGAACACTGTGGTCGTATTTTCACAAGAATCTCTATTGCACACACATCACTTGAGGTATTCTGACATGGAAAAGAGCTGGCACACAAATGATTCAGGATTTGTTTGTTTCCATATTGTTTGTCCCATGCTTACTCTCAGACATTGTTTAAAAGCTTCAACTCAATCTTAATGCAGCGTAGTTGGAACAGTTTTGATAGTGGCCTACATTGATTTATTCTATATATCCACCATATAAAAGTTCATGCATCATATGTACATCACTCTAATAAGAAGCATTTGATAAAGTATTGAGAAACTCTTCTGATCAGAGCTAAATCTGTACTGTAGTCATATTTTGTAGAGAAATTATACATTTCCCTTTTGCTTTTCACAAAATTACATTCCTACCTCCCAGTAAAGTTTACATATGGAGATGATGCCACAGTATAGGCGGCAGTGTTTTCATCACCATCACTGTCATCATTGTTATAGACATCTAATTAATTTATATACCACTTAAGCCATCTCTACCAGTATAGACAAGAGCCTCATGGCACAGTGGTTAAACCGCTGTACTGCAGCCAAAACTGTACTCACGACGGTCAGTATTCCAATGCCTAGTATTTTCTCCTCACAGAATTTGAGGATAGCTATACAGAAACCAAAGTGGGAAGCAATATAATGTCCTCTTAGCATTTATATCACATTAGCTGCTGAATTCAGATCATGCTTTGTAATGTATTTGTGTACATGCAGCCTTTTGCATAGGTCTTCACATGTTCTCAGGTTCCATTTGGAATTCAATGTACACGCACACCACAATGTTTCTAGGATGCTGCATTTGACAAACCATAGAGCTGAGAAAAAGTTCCTGAGTATGCAGCAAAACTTCGGATAAATTAGCGGTTCTCAAGCCTCCATTTAATTACAAATTCTAATTAGAACCTCAGTTACATAACATGGTGTTATGAGGAGTAAGAGGCAAGAATGCTGAAGAATATTATTAAATCACCACAAACGTGTCCACCCACTTGACAAGAGATGTAACACTACATTTCCTGAAAGACACAATGCATGAACATAAGAATTTGGGTTTAGGAAGATAACTTTTAGATATATCATTTGATCACAGAATTAGATTTGTATAATAGATTGCATAAGACACATCTCACAGTGAGGAGGCAGTGAGAAAAAATATATGTACGTATGAGAAAATGGATGATGTTTGAGGCCACCAGAGCAAGACATTTCATATGTATTCAAAACATTTGGTCAATGCTCTCAGTAAACCAGATTAAAATTGGCAGAAATTATCGATCAATATAATCTTTATGGATCTGAAGCAGTTTAATAACAGTCACAGAGCAATTTTGATGATGGCAAAGAAATTCAATTACTCCGGTTTAATATCAAGAATCCAGTGTTTCTGATGTTCAGCTTTATCCACTAAGCATAATGTTGTTCCCATAAAACACAATGTTACATGTGACTATTAATTGTATGGTCTGTCTATATTTGAGATATAGAGTCCTGCTAACCTATTTAATTAGTTTCTGTCACTTATTTAATTCAACTTGTTAAACATTTAAAAAGTGTGGAGAAGCTGAAGGGTGCTATAGATAACAATTGCTGATTCTATTTGAATTCACTGAGCTTGTACAGTGTTCCCATACTTAATGCACAGATGATGATGATGATGATGATGATGATGATGATGATGATGATGATGATGATGATAAAGAACTTGGCAAAGTTAGCATCAGAAGAGGAATATTTCAAGGAGATTCTTTGTCATCACTGTTGTTTAACATCTCACTAAGAAACAATATATTTTGGAATAGAACTCTGTATCTCTGACTACCATGCCTAAGATCCAAGCAGGATGAAGCATTTAGAATTGAAAAAAAGAAGAAGGGGGAGTAACTTTTCACTACTTTTTAAAAAGAATATGTATTAAGTAACAAGCATGGTATTGATGCCATAAAAATACATCAGGATTCATAGCAAACTGAGTAGTTTAGATAGTGTCTCTCCTTCTTTCTGATAGCACAATTGAACTAAACCTGTTTTTCTGTTTGCTCTCTTCTCTTAAGATTTATTTTGAAAAGGAGTTTAGATCTATCACTCTACTGATACTGAGAACACTGACAGAGCAACAACAATTTCATGTTAACAGAAATTATGTTTCTGGTGCATCTACCAAAGGATTTCTTTCCCATGGTGACTCAATATTTTTAAAAGTAAATAAAATAACCAGTCTATTTCCCACCAGATGTAATCTGTCAAGACACTTCAATTAGTCCAAAGCCTTTGTGTGTTATTTTAGAATACGTGCAAAAATGCCTTTCCTTCCTGAAGATGCTCTGAGTGTGAGTTTTCATAACTCAGTTGCAAAGAATTCAGAAAAAGAAAGGAGAAGGAAGGGGTAAGCAATAGTAGGCTAAGTAAAAGAGGCTGTTTGATTCACTTTCATTTATGGTGCCACAACAGTGCCAGGTTTTCCCGTCTTCTTTTTTCCTCCCAAGTTATATCCCACACCTAAGCTAAACTCTTTCTCTAAAAAGCATCAGTAACACTGCAATTGGCACGTTGATATCCTCTTCCATAGCACATTAACAGCTGTTTGTGAGTGTTAATTTTACCAATATAAAGCATATTAGTCACCCAGAGATATTTCTCTGCCAAGAACGCCCCATGATCAGAAATATATTAGTCACCCAGAGATATTTCAACTTGTAGCATTAGTACTGATAGAGTGCCAATGCTAGGGCAGACATGATCTCATTTCCTTCTCTTTCCATCTCTCTCTCCAGTCATTACAGAATTCAGCAGTACTGGTATAGTTTAAGGGGAATGCCTAGTCCAATGAGTATGAAGAGCAGTGCTTTTTACACATGAGCAAGAAAATCTGGGTATTGTATTTGTTCACATGAAGAGCCAACTCATCCTTCTCACAGAGAAAGCAGCGGTGAAGGACACAGGACTAGGCATTCCCTCTAATAATGTTAACAATGCTGGATTCTATAATGACTCTTCCCCCACAGAGAGAGAGAGACAGAAATAGAGAGAGAAAGAGAGAGTTCTGTCAGTGACTATGAATTGAGGTAGCAAAATATATAGTCACCTTTTTTAGAGATGTTGTATCTCAAACTACTAGCGAAGAAACTCAAGAGATTCTATTCTGTTTCATCTCTCTAAGCTACAGGAAGTTGACTTATATGTAATCAGCCTGTTTATACATTCAGCCCAGCAGTTATCTACTATGATTGTGATCCCCCGCCCCATTATTTTCTACATATCTGAAGATGGCAAGGTTGAGCCTAAGACCTTCTGCATGCTCTTATGACTGAGGTATGGTCTCTTCTACAAGATTCATTCTGAGACCTATGTCCCTCTGTAGTTATGTGTTTATGTCTCCTTTGACACTAACATATAATCAGTTCCACTGGATCCCAGAGGCTTTATGTAATATCCCATGAGTCTTTTAAATCACATAATTTGCTCACAAGACAGTTCAGCAGCTCCAGAGGGCAGACCAAACTGGGTCCACCCAGAAGGGCAATCATGAAAATTAGATGCAATGAAGGGTGAAAAAACAAAAGCAGTATTTTTTTAATTGCATCTGTACAAGACTGGGGTTGAAAATCAGAATAATTGCCATTTTTAAAAAGTAACATTAGATTTTCATGTTTCTGAAAAGTAACTACTAGTTCAGTGTTGATTGTTAGTTCAGTTCTTACTACTGAAGAATATCAAATGGATGTATTTAATATTAACTGTCTTTGTTGTAGCTGCTATGGGTTGCTTCCATACAAGGCACTTTTATGATGCTTTGGTATTGCCTTTCTACAGTAGATAGTCAATTAAGTTAGTGGTTTTCTGCTCACAGGATGCGATATTTCTCATTTTAAAAAACTTGACATTGCACATTCCCATGAGCAAAACCCTACTATAAGTGTACTCTGAATTACCACTTTTTGACTGGGGTTGAAAATCAGAATAATTGCCATTTTTAAAAAGTAACATTAGATTTTCATGTTTCTGAAAAGTAACTACTAGTTCAGTGTTGATTGTTAGTTCAGTTCTTACTACTGAAGAATATCAAATGGATGTATTTAATATTAACTGTCTTTGTTGTAGCTGCTATGGGTTGCTTCCATACAAGGCACTTTTATGATGCTTTGGTATTGCCTTTCTACAGTAGATAGACAATTAAGTTAGTGGTTTTCTGCTCACAGGATGTGATATTTCTCATTTTAAAAAAACTTGACATTGCACATTCCCATGAGCAAAACCCTACTATAAGTGTACTCTGAATTACCACTTTTTCAGAAGAGGACCTACTTATTCCTTTAATTAATACAGTTGATTTCTTTTCCCTTTCTTGCAAACTGGAATCTGCATTCACAATTAGTTCACAGCCACAGCTAACCATAAA